TATATATTTATTTATTTATATTTATGCGTGTGTACATATATATATATATATATTGTGTGTGTGTGTGTGTGCGTGCGTGTGTATCCCCACACTTAAGAAGCCTCGCCCCTGCGGTGCCTTCAAGAAGGAGGCTTCGAACTCCTGCGGCTTCCGGCCCCGATCCGATTCCGGACAAGGCGGCAGCTCCTGCGGGTTTCAGCTTCAAGGGCGGGAAGGGCTTGAAGGAGAGTTTCGGTTCAGGGTTCAGGGTTTAGGCCTCGGGGGCTTGGTGCCAGCTGATGAAGTCTTCGATTGCTCATGATTCCACGGATTTTCATGGCCCTTTCTGAGCTGCGCTTCCACAAGAGCAGGGAAGCTCCAGGGGTCCTTGATCAGGTACTGCCCGTCGCCTCCTCAGTTGAGTTTTGGGCGTTTTGGTTCTGGCACTAGGGGCATCTTGTCCGGAAGAGACGCTGGGAACGCCGTTTCGATACAACTCCGGCGACAGATAGTTTTGCAGGGGGGCAAACATGGGAGAACATAAACGGTCGCTGTCTCTGGCTGAGAGTCGCAGGCGGTAGCCCAGCTTCCGGTAGTAATTGCGTACACCTCGGCTGCCAAAGAAGAGGAGCTTCAACCATGCGAGTATGAGGAACCATGAAGAGATCCTCTCATAACACTAACTCAGCATTTACACTACATGCTGCAATTGTCTGAGCTGAGAACCCACTCCCGCAATCACCGAGATCTTCTGGTAGCCATGGGCGGCAGCTATGAGCTCGGCGGTACCCATGAGTGTCCTGCCGATTCCTTGGTGTGCCCATCACTGAATCAAGAGTCCCCGTGACTGGACATTCCTTTGGCTTTACAGGCAAAGCCTCACAAAACTGGAATCTCTGTCTTGTCTATTGGTTTGTGCAATCAGAAAATCTTTGGCCAAGGCCGAGCATCCAATGTGCTGCGGCCGGTCATCGCTTAAGCTGCGTGTGGACTCTTCGCGCCCTGCTGCCACGAGCGTGCCGTAGACGTGCAGCTCACGGATCAAGGCACAGCCGCCTAATTCCTCGCAGAACTGGGTAGGAATGCACCGAGCGTCGAGACACCGAAGCCTGACACAAGACCAAACCTCAAACCAGAAGAGACCTGCATCCCAAGCCCCAGGCGGAACTGCTCCAGTCCTGGAAGACCGGACTTGGTGCTCGTGGGTCGTCGTTGAAGCGCAGACGCAGGAGGCCGTAGAGTGTGGTGTTCTCTTCGTCGGCATCCTGCCAGAACCGACGAATTCGAGAAAAACTGCAGCAGCAACAGCAATAGCACGACATTTGCAACAACGACGGCCACTTCAGATGGGGCCACCACTATGTGCTGCTCCTTGCCCCTTCTAGGAAACGACAGATACGCTTGCGAGTAAGGTCTGTCAGGATCCCAAACCGACCCCTAAACCCGTACATCCTAAGTCCCAAACCCTAGCCCCCAAACCCCAAACGGATAAACCCTAAACCCTAGCCCCCAAACCCCTAAACCCTAAACCCTATAGCCCCTAGCCCAAGCCTGATCGACTTCGACCGTGGGCTTCGGCGTCGCAGCTGCGGCAAGCGCGGCAGCTGCAGCCTCCGCTGGCAGAGGGCATGAAACCATATTGGCAGTTTCCGAAAATAAGGGGTACCCTATTTTGGTACCTTATGTTGGGTTTAGGGTTTAGGGTTTAGGGTTAACCATATGGTAGTTTCCGACAATCAGGGGTACCTAATTTTGGGGTCCCTATTTTGGGTTTAGGGTTTAGGGTTAACCATATGGTAGTTTCCGACAATAAGGGGTACCTTACTTTTGGGGTCCCTATAACAAGGATCCTGCTATTTAGGGTAGTACATAAGGGTCCCCTATTTTCGGAGACCTCCATGTACCGAAGGCTCAACCCCGAACCCTAAGCCTTTGCACCCTGATATTATGTATAAGAATACTATACGGTGATATAACATAATAGAATATGATATGCGGTATACTATAACCGAAAATAACATGTACATCAGAATAGAATAGAATAGAATAGAATAGAATAGAATAGAATAGAATAGAATAGAATAGAATAGAATAGCATAGAATATGCTGTAATATAATGTAATACATAGTACAATATAGTATAATATAATGTAATATAGTCTTGTAAGTATAGCATAATATAATATGAAACAGTATAGCATAGCATAATATGATATGATAAGCCCTGGGAGATTCGTTTTTGTCCTGGGCTCTTCGGGCCTTCTTTCGCTCCTCACGAGTTCCGCCGGCTGCTGAGGCCGCCTTCGCCGCGGCCTCCAGGGACCAGGCTCAGGTTCCTAGTTTTAGGGCGTTTTGGAGTTATAGGGTTTAGGGGTTTAGGGGTTTAGGGTTTTAGGCTGGTTCAGGGTATAGGACTCGCTTGAGACAGCTACGTACAGGGCAAAAGTGTTTGTGTTAGGGTTGTGAGTATAGGGCTGATTGTTTGCAGGGTACATTATCCGACCCTGCATTTGGAGCAGCACCTGTCTAATGGACGAACACACCGACAGCCCATGCTGTATTCTCGGAAACCACAACAGCCAAAAACGCGAAGATGCAATGGCAGACGAATCATACCTCGTGCGCTTCACTGTGCCTCTTTCATCCTTCGCGCCTTCATCTCGGCCTGGGCATTCGTGTCACGAAGTGCAGACTTCTTCTCCTTGCGCTCCTTCTTGGTGGCCTTCTGGCCACCGGCCAGGGCCCGCTGCGTGGCTCCGCCGCCAAAACCCCGATGGCCTCCCTCGATGGAGATGAAGAACTCCGTGCCGCCTGGGCCCGGTTGAATGCAACCATGATTACTCATCACAGTGACTACTAAAATTGGGAATCTTCGAATTCCTCATTTTGTCACCAGATGTTGCAGGAGTTCCTGTCCCGGTTCTGCTGCCACTGTCGAGGCCGAGGGGCTGGAAGATCGATACTCACGAACCTCAAGAACATCATCCGACCCCCACTCACAAGCGACAGCACAAGTGGCTCTAGAGTCTCGCGCCCGTTATGATGGTCCTTGCTTGATACATATTAAATCATATCAACTACCAAACCTTTTCCGGTATACATTGCAGAGATTCAAGTTAAAAGCTCGCAGTCTCTCGCTGCTCGTGTGCGATCTTGATGTAGGACATTGTAGAACCATGCCAGTTTGAGACGACTCTTCCAGAGACTGACAGCCAGAGACAGGAAATTCCTCACCGGACGAGTGCAAGGCCTGAAGGATTGTCGGGTACTTTTTGCTGACAATTATCACCTTCTCGTCCCCACGTGAATCTGCTTCCATGAAGGATACTTTCGGAAGCTTCCGTGCACCAGAAATCCCCCTGGTTGAGCCTGCCGCGTGTCTCTTGCACATCAGACAAGACGAAAAGGCACAGTGGGGATTCTCACATTATGAATACCGGACTCACGGCTCTCTGGGCGCCTGTTGGAATACAAAGATTACCCCTTGGCCCTGGTGCGGGTGACTATGGGTATGGAGAAGCTTATGGAGGCAAATTGTCAACGAGGACCGGCTCTGAGCCCTTGGCGCGAAGTTTGAGGCCATCTGTGGTCTCCGGCCAGTCCCGTACCTCTGGCACGGACAATCGCTCTGCGCCTTGTGAAGTCTCATGATAACAGCGATGAAGGTGATGATCATGAACATGATGATGATCATGGTGATGGGTGGTGGTGGTGATGGTGGTGGTGGTGGGGGTGGGCGTGGTGAGGGTGGTGGTGGACAATCCCGACACTCGGACCGTGTGATCAGCTGGATCAGCGGCGGACAGCCCAACACTAATTGTATGACATGCCGGCCCAAAATCTTGAAGGACAAGCTGAAAACTGACGGACGACCTGACCTCATCAAAAACCGACTCGGATTCGCCTAGCCTAGCCTGTGTTTCAAGAACCAGCCACGGGTCACCTCTCGGCAGCGGATGCATCGGCAACACTGGCCACGCGACTTGAGCACCTCCTGGGCTGAAGCATTGTACTCTCACTGTCGCAGCATGCTCAGCATACAGGTTTGTCGCACTCCCGCCCACTTTTTGGGCTTTTGGTCTTCGAGGGCTTCCACGAGAAAAACTCGGCAGGGGCAGAGATCGAGTGGAGATCCGCTACTGAACTCGCACCTCGACGGAAGGTCAGGGCGTGAGGTGCAGGAAATTAAATAGAGATGGCACTGATCCTAAAGTTTCCTGTCCAAGGCGGAGGTCCTTCAAAAAAACAAGCAAACTGGGCTTCTTCTCAAAGTCCAAGCAGGTATCCTGTGGTCGCATGGCTATCCTCAAGCAAACCTGGGCTTGGGGTGCTATAAAGGGGTTTAGTCTAGGGCCTTTAGGGGTTGCACCGACCAAGGAGCGAAAATGGCCTGCCGGAGGTTCGTAATCGAGTTCCCCGCGACGATCGACACCTGGGAGTGTAAGAACACTACGGCTAAAGATCTAAATCCTGCATTACCCATAATGAGGAATAAGTTAGGGATGACCTTGCCTATTTTCAACCGCTAGACCCCCCCCCTACACTTCTAACCTCATTCCATCACTACACCCCAATCCAACCCTCCAATTTCACCCCCAAAACCCCTCCATACACCCTTATCTAAAAAAAAAACCCTCTTAACTCTCAC